TTTTTTTTTTTTTTTTTTTTTTTTTTTTTTTTTTTTTTTTTTTTTATTATAGGCTTATACTTAACAAAAAAAAACTATTTGTTTTCTAACTGCTTGTTTTCTTTAAAAAAAGGCATCTAACAGCTTTCTCTGTTCTTTTTCTATTCCCTTTGTTTTCTTTTTATTTATTATATAATTAACAAAAAAAAAAACAACGACAACATTGCTACATGTACTGTGTTAAGCTAACTGAGACTTGTCTTAGCACTTGCGTATCATTGCTCTTTTGCTGATTTTAAATTGCTTCTATTGTCCTCATTTTCGTTTTTACAGCACTAATATATATATATATATATATATAGTGTGTGTGTGGCTTCTTAGTTATAACAACTGATTTAGAGAACTTGTGCATTGGTGTACTTCTGCATGTTGTCTTTCCTAGGCATCAGCACACAGTGTCACGCAGACACAGTGAATATGAGCGTCCAGCTGGAGCAGAATGTTACTCTGCCCTGCTTCCTGAACTCCAGCTCTGAGATGGCATGGTATCGACTGAGCTCTGAGAAGATTACTTTACTCATATCTGCAGCAAGAGGAAACCTTAAAAAAAAAGATTTAGTTACTTACTATAATGAGAATGGAAGTCATTTTGGGCTGGAAGCAGACAGGAGGCTTGACTCGGTCAGCCTGGTGATCGCTGGGGTCAGAGAGTCGGATCTGGGGCTGTACTACTGCGCTCTTGGTGTCAGTGCAAAGACGATGCGCTTTGGGACTGCTGTCAGACTCACATTTGCAGGTTAGTGCTCTTCAGATCAGCCAAAACATCATGATTTTATATTATATTAATTATGTTATAATTCAAAACAGCAGAACCACAGAGAGCTGTGATGTCAGAGCAGGAAGCTGTAAAGGTGCTCTGTGTTTTAGTGGATCACTTCTCCAGAACAAACCTCTTCCTTCATCAGCATGGTTCAGATATAGTGCATAACATCACAGCAATCTGTAAGAATAGTGCCATCATATTAAGACTTCCAGCTAAATGGGAAATACATTTATTAATTATACTTAGCAATTCTACTTCATAATAAATTGCCATATTTATAAAAAATAAAAAGTACTGTCAGAATATAGTGCTAAATTGTGTATGTTTTATTTCTTGACAAGTCATTAGATTATTAATGCAATGAACCTTTCTTCATGGTCTTTCTAAAACTGAGAAACCACAGAAGACCTATTTATAGAGAAGGCTGAGTTTCTTCATGGTTTGGCTGTAACCTCTGTTTTCTGTTGTTTTCTGTGACTCTCATCTGTTCCAGTGAAACCGCTGCTCTTTCCACTGGTTTGTTTGGTGACTGGTTTGGTTTTGTGTTTCAGACGCTGAACCGCAGCACTCGTCAGATAGTGTGGGCTGCAGGACGCTCTTGGTCTGTGCTTGTGTCGTATGTGGGTTTTGCAGTATTCTCTGCGTGTGTGTGCTCTGTTACAGGCAAGGTGAGAAACAGAGAACCCCAGCTCTTAAAGGGGTGATGAACTGCCTTTGTTTTTGTTTTGATTTTTGTGCACTGTTCTTTGAGGTCCACTTATAATGCTATCAAGATTTTTACATAAAAAAACATCATAATTTAGAAGTAATAGTCTTTTTTTCTGCCCTGTTTTTGACCCCTCATCAGAACGCTCTGTTTGAATAGGTGTGGAGGATCGTAGACTCTAAAGTAAATGCCACTGCTGTGATTGGCTAATAGTTGTGTATGACTGACAGCCTACATTCCTCACAGATGGACGCTGCTGTGATTTTGGTCAAAAACGCATAAGTACTCATATCAAACGATCTGTTTAACAGACAAAGCAATAGTGATCACGTAATAAAAACAGTTACTCACACTTGTGTTGCGACATTACTGTCAGATCCAATATAGTCGCACAGCATCATCTATCAGATTCAATCTTTCTGAAAATCCTGCGTCGAATTGTGCCTTGTTTGTAAATGAATCCGCAGTAAAAAGACGTGAACAAAGGACCGAGTTTTTACTGACATGGATCTTCATTAAAAATAAAGTTAATTCTAACACTGGGATCAGAAGGAAGGTGATGCAAACACTGTTTTTCCACAGCTTGGCACTGCACAGCATCTTGTTATCTTCAGAGCATTTTTATTGTTTGGTTTCTGCATAGACCTGCGCATTCGCCTTAATTTTTCATTATTTACACTACGTGCGTGAATCGGTGGGCGGGGCTAAACAAGCAGCAATGTAAAATCAGTGGGCGGGGCTAAACAGGCAGTGAGGTAGTATCGGTGGGCGGGGCTAACAGGCAGCTATGTATAATAGGTGGGCGGGGCTAAACAGGCAGTGGTTTAGAATCGATGGGCGGGGCTAAACAGGCAGCGATGTAGAAGCAGGCGTTGATATTCTTCTGTGGAGGCGGTGCTTCTCCACACTATTACAACATGCCACAAGCTGTTGTTTTGGCAGACTGCCTTCAATATAAGCTGTTTTTAGACTAACGAGAAAGTTTTGAGTTATGAAACTTGCAGGATGTTTTTATAGTACAGCAACCTCTTATATGTCAAAATATCAAAGAAATTTTAATTTCTCAGTTCATGACCCCTTTAAAACAGCATGAAGCCCCAAATCAAACCTGATTGAAATGCAGGTTACACCACACAGTGTTTTACATGTGTATTTCTTTTAGGTTCTTCCAGGGTCTCTTGCATCAGCTGCGTGACAGAAAACTCAAATGTCAAGGTGGGATGGACTTGGATTCTTTAAAAAAAAAAAAAGGCATATATGCAAAAAAGTAGCATAAGAATGGCATAACTAAAATTTAATAAGCGCAAAAAAATGTGAGACATTGGCATAAGAAAACTACAAACTCAGAATATGATGCAGGATCGACGTAAAAACAGACATAAGAATACCACAAAGAAGTGGCATAACTAAGAAAGGAACCTTTGTTCTCTTGTTTGTCTGTGTAGTCGGTAGTTTGTGTTGTTTTTGTGCTCTGAGAGCGACATTAATATTGATTCGCAGGGAGATGCTGTTGTTTTCCAGGCAGCACAAGTACAGTACGCCAGTCTCCGGTTCCTCAGGCGGTCCAGAGCCGCGGCTCCTGCTCCAGTCAACGTGACATGCGCAGCTATAACCAACCACACGTCCTGATTTCACTGCATTTAATCAGCTTCATATTAACAGAGAGAGTTTAAGAAGTCTACTATACCAACACCTATACTCTGAACTTATGCCAAGTCTGTGGGGGGAAAAAAAGAAGAAAAAAAATCATTTATACACTACCATTCAAAAGTTTGGGGTTGGAAAGATTTTTAATGTTTTTGAAAGAAGTCTATTTTGTTCACCAAGGCTACATTTAGTTGGTTTAAAAGGGTCATCGGATGCAAAATTCACTTTACATGTTGTTTGAACATAAATGTGTGTTGGAAGTGTGTGTACACATCCACCCTATAAGGATAAAAATACACCCAGTGGTTTTCTTAAAATCCCCTTTCTCAAATCAGGCTGTTCTGAGATTCCTGTCAGAATGACGTAGTTCTGCACAGGCCCCTCCTACGATAGTTGATTGACAAGGCCATCTTACCTTAGACCTGCCCTGAGTGAGCTGTGAGCTGTCCGCCATTGTGTCGACTCCAGTGCAGGGGAAGACAAGAATGTCTCCGATTAAGAGATTGAGGTGTGATAGTTGATTGACAAGTCCGTCTTACCTTAGACCCGTCCTGAGTGAGCTGAGAGCTGTCCGCCATTGTGTCGACTCCAGTGCAGGGGAAGACAAGAATGTCTCCGATTAAGAGATTGAGGTGTTCTGTTGTTGATGTAATAATGAACATAGCAGTCGTCATTTACTCCCCACATCTGAGCTGCTGAAGACACAGTGGATTATGTTTGTTTCTGAAGGGAATGCGTCCCCGATCTGCCTAAATGTGTTTATGTTCACGCGAATCATTCGTGATCCAGCTTCACCTCCAGAAGAAGTGAGTATAAGCTTCTTTAATGAATCTTTGCAAATCACCTTTCCTAAAAACGTGCTAGTTAGTGAGTTCCGCAGCTAAAGTTTACAGTCTCATGAGAACAGCTCGTCACTCCACGGAAGAGAGGGGCGGGGTCAGCAGAGCTCATTAGCATTTAAAGGGACATGCACCGAAACGGCTCGCTGTGATCAGAGCTGTTTTTGACAGGGTAAAGAAGGTGTTGTTTTACACTACCATTGAGAAACTTTAACCAAAGTATGTTATAAACTTTTCATGAAGACCCTAAAGAATCATATCAACTTGGCATCCGATGACCCCTTTAAATACAGTAAATAATGTCAAATATTATTGCAATTTAAAATAACTGTTTTCTTTTCAAATATATTTTAAAACAATTTATTTTCAGGATCATAATTTATTGTTTCAAGATTCTTTATATAAAATTTCAAGAGAACAGCATTTATTAAACATTTTTGTAACATTATAAAAGTATTTAATGTCACCAATTTATAGTATCTTTGTTGTGTATATATATTGAATGGTAGTGTATATTACATGTGCTATATTACTATATTATGCCTGCTATATTCTATGGTTTATTTTTCATTTGTTTGATTATATATAAGCTAGCGTTTGTAGGATGACACATAAAGCTAAGACAGTGATTTCAGTTCTATATAAGGTGTTTTTAAGTGTATTCGGTTTATATTTACATATCAGTGAACATGACTCATATTGACTGTATGTATCCAGTGTAAATGAGTGTGTTGTTTTCATGACGTGATCAGTGTGGAGTAAATGACATGCTGTCTGCTGCTCAGCTGTCTGTCTGTCTCTCTCCAGTGCTGCACACCCAGAGACGCGTACTGGATTTCCCCCTGAACACACACACACACACACACACACACACATTCA